ATTATCAGCTCACTGTCAAATACTCGTGACATAGAGCAAGGCAAAAAATGTTTTTAGTCATCTCAGTTCTAGGTTTCGCTGTCTTTGGTGCCTTAAGATCTTTTCTATATAGCAGATCAATCTTACCACCTCCATTGAGGCTGCTGGAGAAAAATCACAAAACTGCTTACATGTAGGCAACTGCGCATCATGGTCTTTGCCTCAGCGGGGCCCTCAGTTTCATCTAAAATTCATGTCATGTGTTTCTGGTTCTCATCTTTTCCAGTTCCACATCTGAATCACTCCCCTCTCCTCGGGACCTTTCCTGTGACCTCACCCCACTGCTGCTCAGCAGATGATCTGGTCGTTTACCTCACAGGAGAGATGGATCTGTCGTGCATGCATTCCTTCCAATTTGGCCTTTGCACAGGCAATCTTCCCTGCCTTCTCAGAAATCCTACCTGTTTCTGAGGAATGGCTGTGCCTCTTCCTGAGCAAGATGGGTCCTTTCTGGTGAATCTGAGATGCCGCCATTTCCACCCCCTTTGAAACTTTTCTTACCGTATGACACCCTCGTAGCTCCTGCCTCCTTTCTTTGATCAGTTCTCTCTGGCCTAGAAACAGGGTCAGGAATTGCTCCTTTGATTCTTTATGCCCCCAAGTTCTGGAAAGAGTACCTGCACGCTCTTCAGATTCCTCTCCTTCTATTTGCTCAATCTACTGTGATCTGTCTTCTGACTGCCATTCCACTCATAGCCCTTGGCAAGGACCCCAGGGACCTTCTGGTTCCTAAATCCAGTGGACACTTTCAGGGCTTTTGGTTTTTCAACTTGCTTGAGTTCTCTGTAGCAATTAAAACTGTCTCCTTTGGTTTCTATGAATTTGCTCCTGGTTTGACCATACCTCTGGGTCCCCAGGCTCCTGTCAAGGATTCTCCTCCTCTGCCCATTCTTTAAATAATGATTTTTCAGGACTGTCTTTGGCCTATTTCTTTCTGTACATCATATTTTCTCTGGGCTTTTTCATACACTGTAATAGCTTTACTGTCACCATACTCTGGTGATTTGCAAAGTCTAACTGTAGCTCAGAGCATCTCTCAGAACCTTGGCCCTATCATGCTATTTACCATATCTCTACCTGGATGCCACAGAGCTGTCTCAAACCCTGTATGTCCAAAATGATTTCTAATTTGTTTGAAGAAATCAATGCCTACTCAGTCTCTCCCGCAGAAATCTGAGGTCATCCTTCACTCTGTCCTTCATCCTTTTCATCTCACAAGCCATTATATACTGTGCATTATATTTCTTAAAGATTTATCTGTTTCCTAGCTCCAGTTCTGTCATTTATTGCTTGGACCATTAAAAAGCCTCTTAATTGGTCTCATTATTACTATCTTGCCTTCTTCTAATCTGTCTCTAACATTGTCACCAAGAAGTGCAGACCTTTCCATGTGGCTCCCTCCAGAGAAACACTTCATTGGCTCTCCATGGTCTGTACAAGAAAATCAAAGTTCTGAGTCTTGCTGCCTAAGCCTTTTGGTAATCTGCCCTCTGTCTATCACGCCACCCTTGTCCACTTCAGTTCCACACCTCCAACCCTGGGTTTCAATACTATTGAAAAATCACAGTCCCTAGAATGTAGCCTGTTATTCCTGCAGCCCCTTACCCCAGTGTTTGACACACAGTGTTTAGTAAACATGAAGAGGATTTCTTCTTTGCTACTGTTCATTGTGATTTGCATTCTTCACTAGGGAAAGTGTCTAACATAATAAATGTATTATGGATTCTCAGATTGTGTTTGAAATGTGACTTAGTCTATTTACCTGTTTGATGAGTAAGTCTCTTCTCTGGGACCCTAACTATTGGTTAAGCTCATATGACTTCTAGAATGGTGAGCGCATTAACTCTAGCAATAAACTATTTTTAATTTCTATAAAACTATGATGAAAATTTTTTGTGAAAACAAATTTTTCATGCACTTTTTGCCTACTGATGTGAGTTTTGAGTCTTTCTGGCAGAGCAAGTTTGATCCTTCTTTATTGTGATGGTCCTTCCAGTGTTTGAGGATGGCTGTGCTCTTTTCCTTGGGTCTTCTCTTCTCCCTGCTAATATACCAAATCATATCAAGTGTTCTTCTCATCACATAGTATCAACTCTCTTTGCCTTTTTGAGAGCTCCTTCTTTTGGCTCCAGATTTTCTGTGTATTTATGTGTTTACCAACTTGTTCACCTCTGAGAGCATCCAGGACCACTTTCCTGATAGCTATTAAGCTTTGTTAGTGCAGACTGAGATTACATTAGATGCTTTGGCAGCAACATCACTTCATTGGCTCATATTGACTATCTGTTAAAGTCATCCCTTACTTCTACTTAAGGATGGAAACCACCCATTCCTAACATCTGTCTTGTTGCATTTTGGTTGAAAGTTGAATAATAAATCTGGTGCTAGTACAGTTATGTTTTTGTCCTAAATTTTATCCTTGTTGAATTTCATCTTGTTAAAGAAGGTCTTTTGTGAATCCTGATTCTGGTCATGTAAAATTTTCAACATTTTCTCTGGCTTTTTCTCAGTATAAGCTTATAAACTGGTGACGTTCAGTGGGGTTAGATAAAAATATCTATAAATAATAGATATTCTTTATTGAGCATTAACTATACGCTGGTCATCATAGTTTGGTATTTCCATGTGTATCCTTGGTGGTTTCATACAACACTGTGAAGTAGGCACTATTAATACCTTTATCTTACATGTGAGCCACTCAATCAGATATAGGTCCTTCATGGTTGCCTCTGGAAGTCTTATTTTCAGTTTATATTAATTTTCTTGTCAATATTTTTGATGGGAGTTTTTTTTTTTTTGATGGGAGTTTTTAACCAGCTACCAACACTCCACTTAACTAGTACTAAAATCTAGTATGTACATTTCTTATAAAAACTCTATAGTATGATAAACTCTTTCTTGTTACTTTAACCATTGTTAGTGAATTTTCTTGTTACTTTAAACATTAAGAAAACTGTGGAAAATATAGAAAGTTATAAAGAAGAAAATAATGATCACCCTTAATCTTATCATCCATCTTATAGCCACTATTAACTTTTTAACATAGTTATAGTCTTTTTACATATATACCTAATTTCATGTTTCTTATGCTTATCAATTCTTCCCTAGTTATAATGCCCAATTCTTCAAAAAATGCAGTGTATTCTACTCCATCTTTCAAAGAAACTCTTATATAAGTGACAGGACAATATTAGTTAATACAGTGATTATATGTCCTTTAAATATTTATGATACTAGATTCCTCCAACTTTTGAAAAACGATACATTTACAATGAAAAATAACATATTTCCTATTACTTACATGTAGTATTGGTTTGTGAAATGAAATTGAATGATATTGAACAATTGGTAATACATGTGTGAATCTGTATACAATTTTATTTAAAACATATATCTTTGTTAATGACAGTGAAAAAGAAGAAATAGTAGCACATTTTATGAACAACTAGTTTTAGAATAGAATAAAAAATCATTTTTCATTTAGAATAATTACTTTTGCTCCAAAGAAAATTTACCTCTTGAAGGAATCTGCATGGACTCTGACTTATTGGGTAACTACTTTGATACTTAGGTTTATTTATTAATATAACATTATAAATATATCTTGGGGAAAATATATGAGCTATGAAAATGTCTAGTAAAGCAAGAGATGTGTATCATTTATTTTGTTACTCAGGAAAATGAGGTCTTCATATATTCCTAAAGTATATTAGTTATCTTCCTTCTGCCCTACTTTTTAAAGGCATCAAGTACAATTTGTTACTTATGTCCTCTGTCCCAAAGAGGCTGTATGCTGTGTCTTTAACTTATCTTTGATTTGTTATTTGTGGACCTGGCTTGTCTATTCCACTAAAAAATACATTTTTTAGGTCAAGTGTTGGGGCCTTGTTTTTTCGTATTTCTGGGTGACCCCTGTTTAGTATGGGGCCTGTGTATCCCATGATTTCTTTGAGTGTTTATTGAGTTGAAGGGAGTATCAGAAGATGATTGAGATGGAACTTATCATCATCCTGGCTTCTAATACTGTCCCGATGAAGTAGATCAGGGGTCCCCAAACCCTGGCCTCGGACTGGTACCAGTTTGTGGCCTGTGAGGAACTGAGCCACACAGCAGGAGGTGAGCAACAGGCGAGGGAGCATTACCGCCTGAGCTCCGCCTCCTGTCAGATCAACAGCAGCATTAGGTTCTCATAGGAGAGCAAACCCTACTGTGAACTGAACATGCGAGGGATCTAAGTTGCAAACTCCTTATGAGAATATAATGCCTGATGATCTGTCACTGTCTCCCATCACCCCCAGATAGGACCATCTAGTTGCAGGAAAACAAGCTCAGGGTTCCCACTGATTCTACATTATGGTGAGTTGTATAATTATTTCATGATATATTACAATGTAATAATAATAATAGAAATAAAGTACACAATAAATGTAGTGTGCTTCAGTCATCCTGAAACCATTCACCCCACCACCCTCTGGTCAGTGGAAAAATTGTCTTCCATGAAACTGGTCCCTGGTGCCAAAAAGGTTGGGGACCACTAAAGTGGATGAATGCTTTAGTCAGACAGCTTTGGTCTACTGTTCACAAGCAGCTGAGTACCAATTATGCATTCAGCATTGTGCCAGATGCTTTGGACAAAAAGACAAATAAGGCATAGCTTCTGTCTCTAAGTCATGCACAGCCTGCTAAAGGAAACAGTTATATAAAGAAATAAGTGCAGTGTAGCACAACACTTGCTCAAAGCCACACAGCCTGCGAGGGGCAGGACTGGGATTCAGTTTTTTTTTTTGTTCAACTCCACAGCTGCCAAGCCAAGATGCTTCCAGAACAGAAAAACTAGGAGTGCTGATAGTTTTTGCTCTACTCCTCAGAGCAAAACATCAGCCTTGCTCCATTAACAGAAAATGCACATCTTTCTTTTAAAACATTATTAAATTAAACATTTTGTTTTATTTGCAAATTAGGTCCTCCAGAAACTGGGGAAAGCTGATGAGACAAAAGACGAACAGTTCGAAGAATATGTCCAGAACTTCAAACGGCAAGAAGTGAGTCCATTTGTTTCGTTTCTGGAGTGGGAAATGGTTTAAATGTGTTTGTGTCTTAGCATATAAGCAAAATGCATTAAGATTAAAAAAAGAATAGGTGGAGTTGGCACTAACTTGAGAGTAACACTTGCTAATTCTGTAGAATTTCCTATGGAAGATGGGAAAAGGCCATAGACAGTAGATTTTGGAATCCCAGGAGATAAAGACTCTGCTGTCCTGGATTGCTTTAGTTTTTTATTATACTTTATTTTTTGAAACAGGGTCTCACTCAGATTGCCCAGGTTGGCGTGCAGTGACACAGTTTTGGCTCACTGCAGCCTCGACATCCTTGGACTCAGGTGATCCTCCCACCTCAGCCTCCTGAGTAGCCGGGATTACAGGTGTACACCATCACATGTGGCTATTTTTTGTGTGTTTTTAGTGGAGATGGGGTTTCACCATGTTGCCTAGGATAGTCTTGAACTCCTGGACTCAAGCGATCCACCCACCTAGGCCTCCCAAAGTATTGGGATTATAGGTGTGAGCTACCAGGCCCAGTCTTGGACCACTTTAATACAAATGACAGGTCTATAGGAATGCTGGTGTTTCTGAAGATTTATATTTCATTGAACATTAGAAATGCAGTAGTTTAACACTTCTGGTAAAATAACCTTAATTGTTGCATGCTTCAAGAGCATGCATTCGCAACAGGGAGTATACTAATACCTTCCCTAAGGGGCTGAAAATTGGTTCTTGGTGGGTGAAGAAAACTTTTTCAGTGTATAAAGCAAAGATAAACATACATTAGATACATTAGATACAGATACATAGTATACTTATGATATTAAAATTTTACAGGCGGTGTAATTAGGAAAAAACATCTGAAAAAGACTCCTTGGGAAGGTGACAATGGAAAAAAAAAAGGTTGAGAAACAGATTGTGGTGTTTGTTCCTTTAGTGTATGTGTTTAACAGACATGTGAATATAGAAACTATTTTTAAACTATGTCTTGGTCTCTAATGCTTGGATAATTGGCTAGAATATCTCTCTTTCGGTAACACACATAAGGGCTGGGGAGGGGAAGATAGGAGTGGGGCCGTCTGAGGTTAGAAGCCTCAAATCTAGAGATCATCTTAGAGATGGGGTGGGAAGAAGGAAGGCTGAGAAGGCCTTGGGAAATGGGGTTTGGGCATTATAATGTCTAATTATGTGGGGAACAATATAAGGACATGGATTTATTTTCCTGCTGTCATTGGAGCTACCAGTGTCCACAGAAGGAATTATGGCCTCAGGGATGACACCAACAATGGGAAATCATCACAGGTTTTATTTTGCCCCCTTTGCTCCTGACCTTGGAGGTTTCTTTCTTCCATTTGTGTATCAGGGTTCCTGCTGTTTCTCTCACCAAGACATTCTATTTCTTTTCCTCACCAAGAGGGATTATACATTTCAGCAGGTATGGAGCCAGGTAGATCAGTTTTGCCAAAACACATTCCTGAATGTCTCCAGTTTCATCCCAAGACTAAGGGTTGGCAGATGTGATAGGTAGTCAGTTTACCACGAATGGGATAGCAAACATATTCTATCTGAACATGAGAAAAGGCAGAGGGGAGCTGGAGAACAAACAGTAACAGAGAGAAAAACTGATCATGGCCAAATGAACAAATATTACAGAGAGCTTTGGCTTAATAAAGGTAGTAAAGAGAATTCCTAGGGAAATATTGGACTTGGGCCCACAGAATAAGCACTCTCCTACTCTCCTCCAGGAGAAAGGGTCTCCAAATCAACTTCTGTTCTCATCTGGTGATTTTTCACACATCTCCTGCATGTGGGTAACTCTCAAATAGATCATTGTCTTGGATCACAAGAACTTCCCATACACAAACTTGTCCATCAGTGCCCTGTGACTTTGCAGGCAATCCCAAATGTCTGCTCTAAAAGATTGGATTTAGACTGAAGAAGTGATTCATGTTTACAGTTTTCCCTACCTATGGATTCACATTGTACCCTTCGAAACCTTGTTTTCCTGTCTGGCATATCCCCATGGAGCTAATTGATTCTTTGCTCTTGGAGTTTTTCTCTATCACTTCTATGGCACTTGGATGTTGTTAGCACCCCAGAAGGTTAACTTTGGAAGCATCAGGTTTAGTAATGCAGTCATGCCCGGAAGCACTTTGCATTTTCTGATTACAGTGAATTTTCATTTTTTTTTTTCAGCTTTCTTGACTGCCCCAGGTGAGGATTGTTTTTTGTCGAAGGTACCAGAAGGTACTAGAGAAATGTGCCATTGATTAAATCATCAACTACATTGGCAGAATGATTGGTGCCACTAGGAGCAGCAGAATGGGGTGACTTTAAACTGCTGTCCTGCTATGTATTTTGGTCACTACATACAATATTCATTTTCAGATGTTATGGGGCATAGTATATTAGCACCCGTGAAGATTACCACCTTAGTTCTCCCAAGAATATTAGCAGTATTTAAAACCTGTGTGAAACTTCAAAACTTGGGGAAATTTGAATAAGCAATCCTATTTCATAAGAGGAAGGCAAATAGACTATAAATCTAGGAAATGTTATTTCTCAGGGAGTTTCTTGACCCCATTTGGTTCACTTTGAAAACATTTTTGCATCTAAAACATCTTGCATTTTCATATTTCATTTTGATATTTTTTTTATCAGAAAGTTTATAATCATTATAGTGGAGTGAGGAAGGAGAGTGCCCTACCCCTGTTTGTATATAAGAGAGAGACAAGGAGAAAGGGAAGGAGGATAGAAGGAAGAGAAGGGGAGGGATTTATTTAATTTCTTTTGAAACATATTAAAGGTTGAGAAGTGTAGCCGAAGGCTGATTTTATTAATGCTCTACCGAGAGAAGAATCCTCTTACCCCCAATATGTATTGGTGATCAATTTGTATGTGTTGCGTATGCTGAAAAAGGAGTGGTGCTTATGTAGAAACATTAACCTAGAAGGAAGGATCTGCCAAGATTATGGTTACATCTGCAAGGTCTATTATTCTTAGTATTAATGTGATGGTGAATCAGTAATCTGAAGAGAAAGTATTATCTAAAGGCTACATACTCTAAAGGCATTATCTAACCTAGGAAACCTAGATTCCACATTTTTTCTATGAGTATATATATTTTATATCCCAAAAGATACTATTGATAGTATAAAATGAAACCATATTTGGATTTGTGCATTGTATTATAGTCCCCTGACCACACTCAGGTAGTGCTTAACAAAGAAGTAGACCATTCTAGGATGTTCTAGAATTATTCAAACATTTATGGGGGTTCGATTCTTGCTTTTAGTTTCCTTTTACAAAATCATAAGATCCTTGTAGTTATTGATATATTCCTTGCTTGTTCATGTTGGAAACAAAAGGGGCTGAAAGGTCTCTGTTTGAACTCTGGCTTGGGGCTATGCTTTATTTTTTCCCAACCCTAAGTTTTCCTTTTGATCTCAAACTTCTTTTCCTTCAACATGGTTTGTGTGAGGCTGAGAGCATCGATAAAGGGTCTGTACATACTTTCTTTTGTCCATTGGACTCCCAATTGCTGTTGCTTTTGTGGTCCACGTTTCATAAACTACTTAATTAAAACAAGGAGAGCCTGGCACCGTGATACATGCCTGTAGTTCCAGCTACTCAGCAGGCTGAAGCTGGGGGATCACTTGAGCCCAGGAGTCCTGGGTTGTCATGTGCTATGCTGATTGGGTGCCCGTACTAATTTCAGCATCAATATGGTGACCTCCCAGGAGCAGGGAACCACCAGGTTGTCTAAGTAGGGGTGAACCTGCCCAGGTTGAAAATGGGGCAGGTAAAAACTCCACACCTGTGAATAGCCTCTGCACTGTAGTCTGGGCAACACGGTGAGAACTCATTTCAGAAGGGAGGAAGGGAAGAAGGGAGGAAGGGAAGGAGGGAAGGAGGGAGGAAGTAATTAGGTGTCGTGCATTAGGGAATAGAATGAACTCTTCTACAGAGAACTTGGAATTTTCCATGACAATGCATGCTAAGGAGAGCAAGGATTGTAGAAATCCAGCAGAAAGAACAAAATCTGATTTCATTTCCTCCTCAGAGGGCCTTTCTTCCCCGTTCTATTTTCCGTCTGTTATGAAAGCTGCTAACAAGTAGCAAAATTGACTGGTGTGAACATCACCTGCTTTCAGTTCTACCGGTTTTCTGCTGACAGGTCTGTTAATGAGCAGGAAAAAAGGTCCCCTGTGGGAGGAAGGTCCTTGGTTTCTTTCCCTCCTTCCTGCTAATAAACTCGCCCAGTAAGATGCTGCACCTGTGACAAGTGTGCTAATTAAAAGATGATACATTGAGGGCTGGTTGAGTCTAGATAACCAACTATTTGGTCACATTTTAGTGAGTGCAGGTGTGAGCACCCTCATCTAGGTCCCGTCTAAGAACAATAGTTCAAATAAAGGAAAGAGAGCTTTGATTCTCCTTCTGGCATCTCCATAGGCTTCCATTCCCTCGTTGAAATACCATAGCAGTGTTGTGTGGCTCCTCCTGGCCATGACTGAGTGATGGGCTAACTTTTGTGTAATATGAACCAATAAGAGAAGAAACCCTGGGACCTTGAAATCCTCTCCAGTGGTGAGAATTCAGACCAGCCTCCCATGAGTAGGATGCTCTAGCAGCTGTTTAAAGCTGGGCCATGTCTTCTCCTTACACTGAACTCACCCCTCTTGGGCACACGGATCCTGTTTTATTGCTTTCATGTTTTTATTTCCATGGGAGCTAGTGCTTTGCAAGTAAACTTAACAAATACTTGCTAAACTTGAAGCTGAACGAGTGGCAGAAATTATCACTTTGAATGCATTCCTAGAGTACGTTTTTATTTCTGGGATGGAAGAGATGATGTATATGGTATGTATTTTTGTAAGCAGTTTCATGACATTTTCAAGAACCTAGTATATGTACATATAAATGACTAAAGAGAAAAATTTTAGAAGTTTTAAGAAAGAATAGGAAAATAAAGGTATACTGCCACTGTTATATATGTT